ATTGTTTATTGTTCGTAGACTTTCATGCCAGCCAGAATGCAGACTGTGTGTGTGTTAATCCTCGCCCGAGGCTATTTTCCCATTGATTTTTAGATAGAGCGGAAGGGAGAGGGAAAGGGGGTGGGGCATATCAGTGTGAGAGAGACACACACGACCTGGAGTGGTCGGGGATTGAACCTGCCACTCAGGAACGTGCCCTTGACCGGGAATCAAATCAGAGACCCTTTGGGTCCACGGGCCAAACTGGTCAGGGCCAGAATGTAGACTTTTAATGTGCTTTTTGAATCTGTGAAAATGAAGAAAAGAAAGTTGTAGTTTTTAACAATAGCAGGGTACAAAGGTGGATGGAGAAGTGGGACGGGGCTCTGCTGAGCCCCCGCACAGCTGGACTTCAGGCTGAGGTCCTGGGCCAGGCACCTGGCAACCACTTATGAGCTCACCTCTCCCAACAAAAATTACTCTGTGCTCTAAACGTTCGTAACCCGCAGCCTCCTCTTCACCACGAGCTGTGTGCTCGTTATCTGTTCTTATATGGGCACTGTTTAGTCTTTTGTTTTGCTCAAGATCTAAAATGCTTTTACTTCCTTTAAAAATGACTCCAATTTTCATCTAGCTTCATTTATTTTCTATTTTTATTTTTTGGTTAATTTGCATATGGCCCCATGTCTGGGTTCAGCTCTTTTCCTGGCCTGTGTACAGGGCTTATCTGTGAACCATCCTGGGTGCCTGTGTAAGAAGAAATGAAACAGAGGGGGTACCTCATGTACGCAAAGAAGGGGCTCCTTTATTTTTGAGGACCTGGCCCTGTGGCCCCCAGGCCTGCACTGCTACAACAACAAAGGCTTTGGACTGGCTTTGAAACTGCCCTTTGCTTCTGGCTCACTGGATTTCATGACGTGGTCAGCATCATGGGACGAAGCAAGTGGATGTGTCAAGACTGATGTCCTTGGCATTGTAGGGGTCTTGTTTCTCAGCAGTGTTTTGCTACTGATTTATAGAGCAGCGCCCTGTCACATGGGGCCTTGGTGTATCTTCCACCCATCTTGTGTGATAGTTCATGTAACACAGTTACTGTCTGTGCCTGTCGCTGGGGAAGGGCGACATCCAGAGAGACATTCGTCAGCCCAAACCACACAAACAAGCCTTCTCGGTGTGATGGCCTGGTGCCATCTCTGTATACAGTTATTATGTTGTTGCTACTCCTATTAATATTATTGTTATTATTATTTGAGTGTGTCACACCATTTTCAACAAACTGATGGGTGTGCATTCTCCCTACCCACCTCCATGCAGGACACAAGTCTATCGAGACACACGTGTGTTCTCTCTGACATAAATACTAATAACAGTGCCTGACTCACACACCCGTTGAGGGGGTGCCAGGCAGTGGGCTGGTCCTGTCATCAGCTCCAGAAGGTGAATGCTAGTCAAACCATTTCTAGACGGGGAAGCCTGGAGGCCCGAGAGGGTCCCACCCCAAGGCCATGTGGTGCTGAAGCTGGACTGAATCTAGTCACCCTTGCTCCAGTCCCTCCACACTTCTGACTACTCTTCAGGTGACTGCATTCCAGGCATTGCTTTTCTGCAGGATTTTTTTCACTTAGTAATATTAGCTTGAACTCTTTCCATGCAAGTACATCTAAGTGTACTTCATTCTTTCAATGGCTACTTAAGATCAGTAATTTTAGCCCTGGCCGGTTTGGCTCAGCATTTAGAGCATCAGCCCATGGACCAAAGAGTTGTGGGTTCAGTTCCTGTCGAGGGCACATACCTCCATTGTGGTTCAGTCCCCAACCCTGGTCGGAGTCGTGCAGGAGGCAACCAATCCGTGTGTCTCTCTTACGTCGATGTTTCTCTCTCTCTCCCTCCTCCTCCCTCTCCCTCCCACTCTTATCAGAAGATAAATGGGAAAATATACTTGGGTGAGGATTTAAAAAAAAAAAAAAGATCAGTAGTTTATCTAACTACTTTCTTATTTAGGTTGTTTTCTGTTTCTTTGTTATTTACTGTTATATATAATGCAATGTTGAATATCTTCAATATATTCACTTTTGGACACATATAGTGAGAATTTCTTTGGGAATTTGTACATCAGAGAGGAGGTACATATTACATTTTTATAAATATTGCCAAAGTTGCCTTCCAAAAAGAATTTTGCTCACCAACAGTGTGTGAGAATACCTATTTCCTCATACTAGTTGGGTTTTTATATCTTTGCCAGTCTGACAAAAATATATATATACATTTTTAATCCTCACCCGAGGATATTTTTTTTTCCATTTTTTGTACAGATAGAGTGGGAGGGAGAGAGAGGAAGGGAGAGAGAGAGAGAAACATCGACGTGAAGGGACACATCGAGTGGCTGCCACCTGCACGACCAACCAGGGCCGGGGACAAACTGCAACCGAGGTACGTGCCCTTAGCGGGAACCGAACCCGGGTCTCTCCAGACCGCAGGCCGACGCTCTAACCGCTGAGCCAAACTGGCCAGGGCTATATATACATTTTTAAATTGTATTTTCCCGATTCCTTTTGGGGTCATCTATATTTCCTCTGGAAATTGCCTCTTTCCCAGAGTGCTATTTATTTTTCCTTATAGATGCTCTTTATATATTCTGGATGATAATTTGTAGTCTGAAATGCATGTCAGATATTTTCTACCTGTCTGCTACTTCTCTCTCTAGTGGAGAATTCATTGTTCTCACCATCAATTGGAGAGCGCGTGTTTTCGACTCATTTGAACCCACATTTATCATAACTCTCTTGTTATATGTGTGGTTGTGCAAATGCCTGTCTTCCGTTCCACTGGGGTTTTTTTAATTCTTGCACCAGAATTAAAGTACTTTAATTATTTCAACCTTAGAATACCTTTTTATACTGGGAAGGTAAAACTCCTCCTCCATTGCGGCTCTCTTTAAGAAAAAAAAGTCTTTGTATTTATAAGCATTTTTTTCTTCCACGTGAACTTATAGAATTCGCTTGTCAAGTTCTATTAAGGAAGCTGTAATGAGTACTTTGACTTAGTAAGCACTGCATTAATAAGTTGCTTATTAATGAGTTATTAGATAATTTATTGTTATTAGATACATTGACATCTTTACAGTATTTAGTTTTCCCGTCCAGAAATGCTACGTCTCTATTTAAGTCCTTTTTCTTCATCAGTTGAGTTCTGTGGTTTTATGTAAATCTTACATTGTGGGGTTTATTTGTTGCTGTTATAAATGTGGCCTTGTTTTCGCATTACACTGACTTAATTTGTTGTATTACTAGTGGATAGGAAAACTGTCGGTTTTTATGTGTTAATTCTTTTTATCTAACTACTTGACTGAACTCTTTTATTAATGACCTTTACACTTATTTCTTTTTCTTGACTTATCACATTGCCTAGGACCAAAACAATGTAGGAAAACATTGGTTAAAGCATACATCTTTGTCTTGATGCTGTCTTTAATAAGAATGTTTCTAATGTTGTTCCACCAAATATAATGGAAACACTTTATCAGCTTGAAGAAATTTCTTTCTATTTTTAGCTTATTGTGGAGCATGCTTTTCACTGTAGACTACACAAGATTCCTCTCAAGGGGCCTTAATTCTTTTCCTAACATTTTCTTTGAGAATCCAGAGATTTTCCTGACTGGGACCTCCCAGCATTGATATCCCAGCTGAGCCAATGCAGTTTAGAACCGAGTACAGTGATATCTTCTCTCTTCCTTCATTCATTCATGGTGGACCCTGGATGGCCTAAGGAAAGGAGCTACTTTGTGTTGACATTTTCTACCCGCCCCTCACCTCCCCCCACAGGAAAAAAATTAAACATACTGTGCGGACAAGAACAATAGCACCACATCTGGGATTTTCTGGCAAATACCACTGAAAAGTTTTTATTCCTAGCTTCTAGTTTTAAATAACTTCAGGTTTTTTTCCCACTTGATTATCTTGAGTTGCTGAGCCCCATCTCACTCCGGTTGCTAAGTGGCTTCTGGAGTTTCTCTAGGAGAATGTGAAGACAGAGTCACTCTGGCCTCTGGTGTCCTGTTGGGAGTCCGTGCAGCGCAGGGTGCAGCCACTGCTAACCCTCGGCTCTCAGCACTGCCTTCCACATGGTTAATGCGAAAGAAGTGTTTTTATAGTTAATTGATAAAGTGATTTAATTGCAGAGTGCATGTGACAGTCTTTAGGTGGTCCAGTTTTTGCTAAGCTATCAACAAAAAGATTTTATTTCTTCGGGCATGCATTTGGAGTGTGCCTCTAATGTGACTTGGCACCTGTCTAGAGAATCGTTGCTGTGTCCAGTGACATTTTGCTTTGGGGAAGTCAGCACCTGCTGTGACGGCATCTGTCATGTTTAGGACTGTCGATAATACAGAGCCACCTCAGTAAAATGCCTTCTGCAGAAAGCGATATTAGATGTCGGCAAAAGATTGTTGTGACCAGCACAGAAGAGAGTTTGGGCTCCGGAGATGAAAGCAGTCGATGATGTCTTTTATCATGGTTTTTCTCATCTTGATGTAAGCTGGGTAGATTTTATTATTTTCAGGCTGGCTAAGAAGCAGGAACCTGCTAATAGGAACCTTTCTGCTAGCAGGAACCTTTCTTTGTATTGCTTTAGCCCAAACCAACGTTAGCCTCCAGCATCGATTCGGATGTTAATGTTTTTGAGGTGGGTTTTTGGGGGAGATGGTGTGGACTCATCTCAGACACGAGGTGTGTAACTGGCAACCCTCCAGGAGAGCCCAAGCCAAGGGAGAACTGGAAGCCAGAAACCCCAAGAGGCAAGGCGGCCCCATCATGACAGGCACAAGTAGCTGGGCTCTGAGCCCCTCCCAGTTCCAGTGGGACTGGCTTTAGCTTCAAGGGCTATTGGTGTAGCAAGTTTGATCAATAGGAGTTATTTTTCCTGCCCCGGCATCCTGTCTTTTCCTCCGGATCCCCAAGTCCAGAAAAGAGGCTGGGGGCAGTGACCAGGAGTAGACTGAATGTCCCTTCCCTTTTCTCTTACAGGCAGGTGACAAACATTACCACCCCAGCTGTGCGCGATGCAGTCGATGCGACCAGATGTTCACAGAAGGAGAGGAAATGTATCTTCAAGGTAAGGGGACTCGGGAACCCAGGAGGCTCCCCCCACCTGGGGAAAGAAAACCTTACTACGTTTGTTGGTTTGTTTGTTTGTTTGACTGGTTTTAAGAAGGAGGCATTTCATTAGCTGCAAGGCTACCCAGATCCAAAATGAACGTGGCCAAAAGTTATCTCAGTGGTTAGTATTAATCAGCCAAGCAATTGACTTGGGAGCAGGGAGCAGCGAGCCCCTGGGGCTGTTAGCAAAGGAATGTGTTGCTGCTGAAATGAGTGAATAGGAGGGGTGTTTGCTATGGATGTGATCACACCCCCTCCCAGCCCTCTCGGAAAGTGCTTGGGAAACAAAGATCAAAGAGAGAACGCATTTCCAGAAATGTTGCTCTTTGGGTGACTACTTTGTCTTTTCCCCTTTCGCTGTCCTGCCAGAAGGCCTTTTTGAGGCCGCCCAGGCTTCTGTTATCTGGGCTTTCAGGGGGAAGAAAATCTCATATTTGGTGAATTGCATCACAGATAGATAGTTCATCCCATTATGAGGACACGGCTCTCATATTGATGGAGAGAGAGAGAGAGAACACACCCCAAGTCCCTGAAAGAGAAATGGAGACTTTTCTGGTGGGATTACCAGGGGCCATTAGATTTTTTTTTTTTAATTGGAAATGGTTTTGAGAAATTATCCTCGTGTACACGATGACTAGCTTTTCTCTACTCTAAAATTCTGAAGCTTCACAGAGAGGCTTGGGGGAAGGTTCTCTTCCAGGCAAACAGTACCATCTGTGCGAGCATTTGCTATTTTTAGCTGTAACCAAGTCATTAACTAGACAAGGGCTTAGTAAAATTAGCAAGAACCGTAAAAGCTATAGCTCCTTCTATGTCGGTAATTACTGGGTCTCATCTGCCTTTGAATGTCATTTCTTAATGCCTCTTTCCACCGGACACTATATTTTTTAAAATTTATTTTGTGGTTGAGGGTATTACAGATGTCCCCCATTTTCCCCATTCGGCCCCCTCCGCCTGGCTCCCACCCCACCCCAGACCTGCTCTGCTGTGTGTCCATGGGCTCTGCAGGTATGCATCTAAGTTCTTCGGTTTGTCTCTTCCTGCCCCCCCCCCCTCAGATCTGTCAGTCTGTCCCCTGCTCCCATGTCTCTGGGCTTATCTGTTTGTCAGTTTATTTTGTTCATTAGATTCCACATATAAGCGAAATCACACTGTGTGTTTTTAGTGAATGATTTGCTTTGTTCTCAGTTTTTTTATGCAACCCAGAAAAGTCTACAGAAATTACTCTGGAATATTAAAGCAAAGCTTAGGCTACTCTCCCTTAAAAAAAAAAAAAAAAAAAAAGCCAGCTGTATGAAAAATTAACAACCCAAATATCCTTTTAGCTGCAGAATGATCACTCTGTAAAATTATGATAAACAAAAATCACTGAATATTAAAGGGCCCAGTAAAGGCAAGTGACAAGAACCGAATCCAGGGTCTTGCCTGGGCTGTAAATCTGCGGCGGCAGCAGGCAGGCATCACTGTGCGTTTTCAGAATGGAGCAGACTTAGTCTTCACTTGGTCTCGAGGCTTTGCTTCAGGTTCAGTGTGTCAGTTACAGCACTCAAAAACAAAGGCACAAGAGGGTGTCAGCCCTGTGTCTGCTGGGGACCCGAGACTCCCAGGCCCTAGGGGACAGCTAAGGGCCTGGAAGCTGAATGCACAGAGTGATTTGAAGCTGTTCGTAAATACAGCACCTTCACACCACAAATAACCCACTGTCTGTCAAGATGGGCTGCATTCAGAGTCCCTGGGAATGACTGGTATAAACCTCTTCTTGGGCCTCCGTAGCCTTTGCTTCTCAGCACATCCTTGAAGAAGGAACGGTTTCATCTTCCTGGATGTCTGATGTTCTCCCTGTATCACGTTCCTGTGAACTCGACCTCTGGAGAACAGTTGACACTGCAAACCCAGTGTTCTGGCCGAGGCCTCCGATCCATAGCTCTTCACAGTGAATGTGGCTCCTGAGCCCCTGGGGGGTTCCCTGTGCTTCGGAGGTAGTCTGTCTGATTTGTGTTTGTTTGTTTCTTTCTTTCTTTCATTTTTTCTTTATTGATTTTAGAGAGAAAGGAAGGGAGAGGGAAAGAGAGATAGAAACATCGATGAGAGAACATCAATCGACCACCTCCTGCATGCCTCCCACTAGGGATTTGGCCCACAACCTGGGCATGTGCCCTGACTGGGAATAGAACTGGCAACCTCTTGGTGCAGGGGTCAATGCTCAACCACTGACACACACGAGCCAGGCTTCCCCTCCCCCTGTCCCCTCTTTCTTCCCCTCCCCCTCTCCCTCCCTTGGTTAAGCAAGATAGAAATGATTGTTAAATAGGGATTCAAGTATTATTCGGATGTGAAATGTATCTTCTTATCATTAATTTAATATTTTCACTCAGTGGTATAAAGTAATTCAAGAATTATTTTAATTTGATGTCTTTTCAAATACACACAGATTGCTATTTAAAGAGATAAAGATTTCAATACCGAAATGTAGCAAGTCTGGTATTTATAGAGACTCTTAGTGGATTTATATCATTTACTCACTGCTTTCAACTTAGCAGCTTTATTGCTTAAATCTTTCTATGTGCCCCTCTGGCTCTCTGCCCATCCCCATGTTTGAACATACCCTTACATACAGGTTTTACCCATCACTTTGTAAACGGCGTATGTATCTGGGCATACGAAATTATATAGGCAGGCTTGGGGTTTTTTGCAAGGTAACAGCTTTCTATGGGATATATATGTTTTGCTTACTGCTGGGACCATCCATGAAGACACTTTGTACTCCGAGAAAGGAAGGCATTGACCCAGAACAGGAAATGACACTTTAGTAGCTTCACTAGTTTGAAAGTGAATGCTTTTCTTAAATTGATTAAAAGGTTGAAAGATAAAGAAACTTTTGGATTTGTAACATAACTTTCAACCTGTCTACTGCTGGGTCTGATGTCCCACATCTGGGTCGATGACTATGTATAATTGGATCAACAAGAAATTCCGTGCGTTTTGCTTCTGAATGTGGACAGTCTGGTTTGACTTTATGTTCCTTATCTAAATCGCAGGGTTGTTCTGATGCTTTGTAAACATGCTGATGGCTTCTGTTTCTGAAATTAAATGCAGCTGGTAATAAGCACACAGATAGTACCTTTAAAGGATAATGATATGGTTAGAAAAAAACAAACACTCAGTCAAGAACTGCACATCCCTTGCATGGAAACACTCCTGTGCCCAGTTGGTGATCTCTGTGGTCAAGAGTTGTGACCTTAATAGGGCAAGCTCAGACGAGGTGCGGAGAACACCCCCGGAGTGCGGAGCGCCCTGTGCTGGGGAAAGAGGGTGTGAACCCATCTCAGACGTTCTGTCCAGCAGGACCAGGGCTCTGTCCATTTTCCCAGCTCTTAGTCGGTACGTTATGTCTTTCCAGGTTCTACCGTTTGGCATCCCGACTGTAAGCAATCTACCAAGACGGAGGAAAAGCTGCGGGTAAGGAAACAATTAGAGACGTGATGGCAGGTGTATTTGCACGCCAGATGTCTGCTAGTGACGAACTCTCGGGCTGGAATGTGGGTGAAATTACTTGGCTGTGATTTTTTTTTCCCTCCATAGCAGACCAAGTTGAAAGGTCATTTGGCCAGAGAAGGAGGTTCCCACCTACCTTCAATTGATTGTGGTTTTTGTTCCAAATGCTTGCGTTGGACAAAGTAAGCCTTGCCTCACTAGTCAGAGTCTTAGGAAAGCCTTCCAGAGAAACGTCAAACCAGACAGATGTGAGAAAAGTGATTCATGAAGTTCTAGGTCCAACATCTGGCGACCTCCTCCCCAGACGTGTTTATATTTAGTCCATCATGCAACACTCCAGCCCAGACTCAGCCTTCATGTTCAGGTCGCGGTGCATGTAACTGCCCTCTCGAATCCAGATTCACCCAGGAGCCTTTCTCTCTGAGAGCCGATGGCTTGGGGAAATAATGACAAGACCAGACATGTCCGTGGGGACAGGCACGCTGGGTGGTTTTAGAACTTAACTCTGAGATGGCATCAACATGTTCTGGTAACTATCCTAGAACACTGAGCACATGGGCAAAAGGATGGACCCCGTCTCTCTCTCTCTTGCACTTCTAAAGCCTCCTGGTCTTATTCGGGTCTCAGAACACCACCAGGTGACATTTTACCTGTTTCAGAACCAAAGCATGTACATGGTTGTAAGGTCATTATTGTCATCCGCCTCCTGTCCAGCTGCCCTCAGTTTTCCCCTGAGCAGTAATCAGACTGGATCCGTGTACCACAGTCTCTCCATGTGGCTGACGTCGCAGTACCCATGGAAAAGCTGGAGTTGGACGGTCATCCACGTCGTGTCTCAGGGAAAAGAAGGGTCTGAATTTGTTCTGAAGGCCAGACTCTAGCGCGGTGGTTCTCAACCCTCCTGATGCCGCGACCCTTTAATACAGCTCCTCATGTTGTGGCGACCCTCAACCATGAAATTATTTTCGTTGCTACTTCATAACTGTAATGTTGCTACTGTTAGGAATCGCCATGGGAAATATGTATTTCCCGATGGTCTTAAGCGACCCCTGTGAAAGGGCCGTTCGACCCCCAAAGTCGCGATCCACAGGTTGAGAACCTCTGCTCTAGAGTGTGGTCTCCTTTCTTCATGATCTGCCATTAACAGGCATAAGAAGCTATATATGTAACCTCAGTAGTCACACACTTTGAGTGGAGGACAACAAAAACATCTTTCTCAGAATAACTGAGTAAAGATAGGACAAACTGAAAAGGAATGTGCCCACCCATGTCAGGACGGCTTGGGCTTCCATTCGGACACAGTGTCAACTTGAGCACATGGATATAACACCCAAGCCTCAAGCCCATGGACCAGGCACACACACGTGAAATAGTCACCTGTGCCTGGACTCCAGATTCTGGGGTTTTCGAGGAACCATGGATGCTTTGGAAACGGGTTATCTTTATAAAGTACTAGAACATTAAAGATGGCGCTTATTATCACTCATATTATAAGAATGCAAATTTCACAGTATAGCCTAGGGATGCTGCCCAGAGACCACCCACGGAGCCAGTGGTTTGCCCTGTCTTTCAAAGAATCATTTTTATTTCATCCCCTATGATGTCTTCTGGGAGACAAAGAGAAGGGTGCTAATGAGGCCAGACTGCATGGAATGTGGCCTTTTCTCTTTAAGGAAGGATTGCTTGCGTTTGCAGACGGTGTTACTAAAAGGATAAATAAATAAAAATCAACACTTTTAATTGCATCTTGGTGGAGCTCTCTGGATAGGCTTATGAAAACAACTAGTGAATACTTCCACTCATTCTAGCCAAGAGGAGCTATTGATTTTCCTTCCTTCAGTGAAGCTTACCAGAGAATTCCAAAGTTCTCACATCCACCGCCTGGGAGGTCAGACCCGCCCTCACCCACTCACCTTGGGGAAGTCAGCAGGGAGGAGGAGGGCATCCCTCCCAGGGAAGAGATTCCCATGTGCCCCGAGACGGGTAGGCGCTGACATGGGGAGATGGAAAGGGCTATTGGTTTTTGAACCAGGGAGTGAATCGTGGGCTCTCTTAAGGGTGTGTCTACAGATCGCAAATCTTGAGCCCAGATTTCCAGGCCTTTCACCGGGTGTCACATTAGTGCAGTTACCATGGCAAAATGAAAATGTTTTAAGACTCAGCAGCACCACTGAGTAATTCACATTCTTGATATTTGAGAGCTCACGGGGTGTCTGAAACAACAGCTTCTTAAAGGGACATCTCTCAGTGGCTTCACGGGGTCTTCCTCTTCGTGTGGGCTGTCTGAGCCAAAATCAACGGAAAGGGATCCCGGGGTTTGGAACGTGGGCAGACATACTGCATCTTGGAGACTAGTTGAGATGCGTTTAAACATGGGCCCCCAGACGTACACATCGCGTACAGCACCTCAAGTAATGACCCTTGGTGTTTACCATCCAATTAGCATTCTGGAGGTTTCTGGGTTTTGTTTTGTTTTCCATAGTGTTTCTGAATTGAGTTTCTTCTTTGTTCCTTCTTCCCTTTTCTCATGTTCCACGGCAGCCGCCAACCATTCGGCATTCTTCCTCCGATTTCTTTTATCCCAAAAGTCTGATCCGACGCACAGGACGGTCTCCGTCGCTGCAGGTTGGCGCGGTGTGCAGGCGTCTGTCGCTTTCCCTTCCTCTGCATCTTCCCCACTTAACCCCCCGTGCCCTGCAGAGGCTGCTGCAGCTGCTCACCGCACAGAGCACCGCACACCTGACACGCTGCTGCTTCTCTGACCAGCGTGTTCCTGTAGGGCAGTGGCTAACGCGTGGCCTTGATGCAAGCAGGCGCAGTAGAAGCTACTCTTCGGGTCCCGTGTTCACCCGTTTGTTCCCTGAACTAATGACTTGCCAAGCACCCAGGAGGAGTGTGGGCTGGGTGCTGTCGGCGTAGACTAGTAGGGAAAAGAAGACAGGTAGATAAATAATTATGAAATAGCATAGGAACGTATCACGGGAAATGGATCCCATAGATCGAGAAATGTCAGATGAGCCAAAGGGTCTCGGGGGGCACTTCTCGGAGGCTGGACAAGATGGGAACGTGTGGAGATGACAAGACAGGCGGGCTGAGGAGAACAGCGGAAGCCTGGTGCGGGCAAAGTGCGCGGGGAGAGGGTGGCGGGGCTCAAGAGAGGAGCAGTGAGTGGGAAAGGAAACAAATGGGACCCAGCACCCCGTTCTTCGGAGGCTGAGAGGTTTACGTGCACGCTCATTTGCGCTTTCTAAGAATTCCCGCGAGAGAGCTATCCTTATTCCCATTTTACAGAGGGAGAGACTGAGACCTATCACAGTTTAAGTCACTTCCCCGGAATTACCCCACCCATCAGTAAGTGGAAGAGCTGGGATTAGAACCCCTGTCTCTCTGAGCCCATAACGCATGTTCTTTCCACTTTTGCACAAGGGGAGAGAGGGAGAGCTGGGGAGACAGGGAGAGGAGCGCATTAAGTAGTGGCTAAGTCTGATGGTGTTTAAACCACAGAGCAGCACGACCATCGACGTCACAGAAGCAGGGGCGTCGTCAGCAGCTCTCCGGGTGAGCAGGGAGGCAGGCGGTTGTGTTCCCAGCACAGACTTGCCCGTCTTTCAGGGTCTCTGAGAATCCGTTGAAACCTTGGCCTGTTCCGTTACAGAGTGACTTCCCACAGTCCTGTCTTTGCCCAGCTGAAACCCATTCTGTAGCGCTGCTGACAACTCAAGATTGCAACGCAGCGCTGAAGTCTGGGCTTTGACCTGCGGCTTTTTTTCTGTGCCTGCCCGACCTACCCTCAGGTTAGAAGAGTTTTGGTCTAAATGTCTCCTTCTAATGGTTTGAAACATAGTTACATCAGCCCCCTAAGTTTCTCTGTCTGTGAAATGAAGTCGGCCCAAGGCTACGCAGGTCCTAAGCAGCAAGACAACTGCTGCCGATTCCAGGCCTCGGGTGGGTTGCGTTGGCCCGTGATGCTGGATCAAACTCCAGCCCGTATTTGTCATACAGTTGTCACCCTATATTGAAGCGTTAGCTCCAGCCGTGGGGTTTTCACATAAAGTGAAATTATAGTCTCGTGAATCCAGGGGGGACAGCCAAAGATCGTCCCCACTATAAATGAGAGTTGCTCGGAATTGGTACCTCTAACCCGACAAGAAGTTGCTTTTCAAATAGTTTTTGTGGGTTGTTTTCCCCAAGAGTGTACTTTATACCTCAAGTCGTGTTCTATTTTACTAGCCTAAGGCGGTAACCAGATGATGCATGTTCATGACTTGAAGAAAAAGACCACCACTGAGTGTGAAATCCTTTGGTTCGCCCCAGACCCTTCCATTTGAGATGTAGATCATCGTGAGAAGTGGTGGGTCAGAGGAGAGAGGGATCTGTCTTTAATAACTGCTCTCCTCCGATCCTGTTACTCAGAAGGGACATCTGATCCCCGTTATTCAGCCGAAATATCAGTGAAGTCACAAGGAAGTTCCCTCCCAGAAAGCTGTAGACGCTTGGGACCTGGCAGAAGAAACAGGCCATTGGACAAGGTCCCCACCATCCATTGGCCGTTGAAAAACAACTCACCAGATCCTTTAAAAAGCCTGAAAACTCCAAAGCAGTTTTCTAGTTACACAGATATATTTTGATTTTTTAAATGCGGTGTCCTACACGGCAGCTCAGTTCACAATAGTGTCAGACGCCTTTCGTTCTTAGATAAACTGACCGTACTCCTTGGGGGACAGTTAGCTCTCTGTGCCCCAGAAGTCAGCCCTGGTTTTGTTGTAGAGGGAAGTCATTTTATCCCCCTGAAATCGCTCCTTATTTCTTCCTGCTTAATTTACAAGTAAAAGAAAAGTATAAAAACAGAATTACCTAAGAAAATTGTATTTTAGTTTTGCTTACTTGGAAGGGTTGTATGTGAAGAGCAAATTGTGTCTGTAGGTAAAACTCACTACTGAGCATTTGTAATTCTTGTTGTTACTCACTGCAGACAAAGCTCTTCCAGGACCACGTTTGTGATAACTTGCTTGGGGTCACGCGCTTTTATTCTAGAAGTGGGCCTGTCTGCCGTGGCTTTGGAGTCTAGAGCACGTACAAACTGGGCGTGAGAGTTTTGTTTCTTCTGAAACTAACGTTCACCTCTGATGACACATGCACTTACACACCTGTAATACAGGGGTGGGCAAAATAGGGTTACAGTTGTGAGTATGCAAAACAGAGTTTATTCTTGTAGTATTGCGTTATTTTCCATACAAACAACTGTAAGCCTACATTTGCCAACCCCTGTATATAAAATACTATGAGTATATTTTGCATATATATATATTTATTTATTCATTTAATCCTCACCCAAGGATATATTTTACTGATATTTTTAGAGAAAGAGGAAGGGGGGAGGGTAGAGGAGACAGAAACATCGGTCAGTTGCCTCCTGTATGTGACCCCACCGGGGATCAGACTGGCAACCCTTCGGTGCCCAGGATGATGCTCCAACCAACTGAGCCACACCGGCCAGATCCCACATGTATATTTTTAAAGGAGCTAATTAGAGTCTTATGTATGTCCAGAACAAGGAAATGATGTTGTGGACTATTTTACTAAGGTCGCTACGATACAGACTGCTTTATTCCCAGCTTTCACTCTGTTAAATATTTTATTCCTGTTGGTCTTTACAATCCGTCAGGGTGTACAGGTATTAAGATGGAAAGACACTGAGGCCTTGTGGCCGTAGGGGAGGCTGATGGCATTTGTGAAACTCTCCCGAGAAAGGGGCTGTACCCAGGAATGCCTCCTGCTTCCTCGCAAACCAAATTTCTTCTTCAAAGTAGTCGATTTCACCCTTTCTTGACTGAGGACTGAACAGTCACTTGTATGCAGATCTTAAAAGTATTCCTTCGGCACCTGTCACCACCTTGTCTAGTGAACTGTGACAGAAACCCAAGGCCGGTTCTGTCAACCTCAGCAGCACTTGGTATGAGGTGTCAATCACCTGCTAGCAGCACTTGTCCCCTAGGTGAGATCTTTCCGATCTGGTTGCCGCTGCCTGTAGTCTGCCCCCTTCTTAGAGCATGGCTTTGGGTGACTGCAGATTAGATGGACTAGTCATTGCATCCCGCACCTGCTGAGTGGGGGAGGGCTGGGGGCCGCCAAGGGCCTTCTGGCACTGTCCTGTGAAGGGACCAGGCGAAGGGACCAGGCGTGCACGATGGCCCATAATTGAAAGGAAATGGAAAATGTCATTTCTCTGCTCACCAGGCAGAGCTCTGGTAAGTTTTCGTTTTTATTAATGGTCAATATTTGAAGAATAACAAGAGCTGGGGTGGAAACATCTCTTCAGGGTAATTTTCATGCTGTGACGGTGCCCTCTGAGGGGTAGGACCGAGGGACAGTGTCAAAGCACAGGGGACGGGCAGCCGAAAGGCAGTTCGAGGGCTTCGGAGAAAGACCCCCGCAGAAACAGGTGCGTTTCCGGCGTCTGCGGAGTCAGCAGAGACCTTCCTTCTCTTTTCCCTTGAAACGCACTACTCCGTCTTCCGGCGAGACCTCTCTGTGTTGATTTCTGTTTTGGGGGGAAAATGTAAAACTTGACTGAAATCAAAAGTGCGTCCTTAATGGTTTGCTGAAGAAGTAAGTGTAGATCATACGGGCCCTTCTCCCTGAGAGGCCGAGAGATGCCACGTGCAGCTGCACAGGTCTCCTTCCTCCTGCTCAGCCGAAGTGGATGGGCTGGTTTGGCTGATCTTATTGGCAAAATACTCGGAGAGGCCCCAGCCAGCCTGTCACCTTTTCTATATGCCTTCTCCACCCCTCCCTCTGACCCCTCCCCCCTTGTTTCCTGTTTCTTTTCTTTTTGCCAAATGCATTTTTCCAACTGTGCTCTCAAGTTGGTTTTTCTGCAAAGCTGAAGGGAAAGGAGGCAAATGGCATGTGCTTCCAGCAGCTGAGCTTCGGGTCCTTGTTTCCGTTCTCGGCACAGAAGTGGGCGTGCCTTCGGGGGTACATATTCGAAACCCTCTTCGTTTAGAACGTAGGCGAGAGAGTGATTTTGTTCATCGGAACTTTCACGGAGGATTCCAGAAACAAAGACTGTTGGCGCCTTGGGTTATGGAGCACATTTAGTAATGACTGGGTCTCTGTCGTTAGCCTGGATATCCGCATGGGCTGGAATAGGAATCTAGGTTAAAGATTGTGCACAAGGATCGTCTGCGGAAATACGGGTCATTGTAAAATGTTGTCACAGCCCAATGGGGTGACATCGAGTCAGGTTAATGGTACAGAAGGGATTTGAGAGGGAAGGCATGTCAGTCAGTTGTGCTTTTGAGATTGAGATGAGTTTCGGTTTGAGTGGCTTTGAGCCGCTCTGCTGGAAGACAGCTCTGGGCCTTTCGAAGGTGTTTGACAGCGACCCCCAGTGAGGTAGTCGTATATTCATTGGGAGGGAAAATACAGCTAGAAGAATAAAAGGGCTTCTTTCAATAACAATGTTTATTTAAAATGCAACATGTTAAAATTCTATATGTTTTGCCCTGGCCAGTTTGGCTCAGAGGTTAGAGGATTGGCCCATGGACTGGAGAGTCCCAGGTCCGGTTCCCGCTAAGGGCACGTACCTCAGTTGCAGTTTGTCCCTGGCCCTGGTTGGGGTC